CCTATTTTCTATGATGATTTTCACAACATTGAACAATTAAAATGTCATGTAATCAAACCAGTCTGTCTTTTACTTTGTACCATCTTGATTTTGTGTTTATTCTTAGGGAATTTTTCATTTTTTCAGAATTGTACTTCTATTTTTAACATTTAGATTTTTAATATATCTGGAATTTATTTTTATGAATAGCATAAAGTTAATATCTAATTATTTTTCTTCAAAATGGAGAGTCAGTTTTTCCAACACTATTGGTTAGACCCGGAGTCAGCAAACTATGGCCACCCCATTTTTGTTAATAAAGTTTTATTGGAACACAGCCATGCCCATTTGGTTACATATTGTCTATGACTTCTTTCATACTACACCAGCAGAGTTGAGTAGTTGCAACTTAAACAGTATAGCCCACAAAACCTAAAATACTTACTTTCTGATCTTTACCAACCCTGGATTGGACCATCCTTTTTTCATTGATCTAAATTTCTACTTTAGCATGTACTAAATGTTTTGTATTTATTTATGGAATCTCTCTACTTTTTTATTCATTATTAAGAACTTCGCATGTTCTATTAATCTCACTCATAATTATTGAAGATCTATTTACTGTATTTTATTGACTCAAAGATACAATATGCTTAGTCAGGTTTATTAAAGTATAATTTGCATATAGTAAAATTTACCCTTTTTATGTGTGCAGTTACATGATTTTTGACATGTATGCAGCCATATAACTATCACAGCATGATAGAGAACATGTTCATTACTCCAAAAAGTTCTCTCCTGCCCGTTTGTTCATTCTCTCTCCTGACCACCAGATCTGGCAACCACTAATCTGTTTTCTGTTCCTAGAGTTTTGTCTTTTCCAGAATGTCATATAAATGGAGTCATACACTAAGTAGCCTTTTAAGGGTGTATTCTTTCACCTATCTTAATGTATTTGAGATTTGTCCATGATGTGGTATTCATGTTCATTCCTTTTTATTGTTGAGTATTGTATCTATTTACTAGTTGATGGACGTTTGGGTTGGATCTAGTTTTTGGCAATTATGAATAAAGCCAATAGAAACATTTGCATATAAGATTTTGTATGGACATATTTGTTTTCAGTTTTCTTGGGCAAATATGTAGGAATGGGATTGTTGGGTCATATGCTACAATAAATGTATGTTTGACTGTATAAGAAACTGGCAAACTGTTTTCCAAAGTAGCTGTACTATTTTTTTGTTTTTGTTTTTATGTCCTGTTTTGTGTGGGTTTTTGTTTGTTTGTTTTTTCATTTCTATTAGCAATGTGTGAGATTTGCAGGTATTTTGCATCCAGCACTTAGTACCATCAGTTTTTGCTTTTTAATTTTAGTGATTCTAATGGGTTAAGGTTTAGTTTTAATTCCCGATACATAGTACTAAAGACCTAGTGATGTTGAGCATCCTTCCATGTGCTTACTTACCGTCTATGTCTTCTTTGGTGAAGTGTTTGCCTCAATCTTTTGCCTGTTTTTAAAAATTGGTTTTGTTTTCTTATGGTTGAGTTATGAAAATATTTTATATGTTTTGGGTACTAGTCTTTTACCGAACATGTTTTGCAAGCATTTTTTCCCAGTCTATGGTTATTTGTTCATTTCTTAATAGTGTCTTTCAAAGAAAAGTTTTTAACTGTGACGAAATCCAGTTTGTCGAATTTTTTAATTTTTTTTATTATTTTCTATTGCTATGTAACAAATTATCACAAAGAGTGGCTTAAGACAACATAAATTTATTATCTCACAGTTTCCATGGGTCTGGAATCCAAGTTAGATGAATCCTTTGCTGAAGGTCACACCAAATTGAAATCAAGGTTCTGGCTTGGGCCACATTGCTTTTTGGAGCTCAGTGTCCTCTTCCAAGCTCATGTGTTTGGTTAAATCCAGTTCCTTATGATTTTAGGACATAGATTCCTATTTTCTTGTTGGTCATCAGGTAGGGGCTGTTCTCAGCTCTTAGAGGCTTCCCACTATGCCCTGCCATATGGCCTTCTCCACAATATGTCAGTTTGCTTCTCCAAGAACAGCAGGAGAGTGTCTGCTGGAGCTTTGACTCTCTCTGACTTCTCTTATCTCTGATCTCTAAAACCTGGTTTAAAAGGGCTAACCAGGGTAGGTCAGGCCCACTCACACTCAAGGAGGAGGGCTATATGCACTAAGGTATGTGCACTAGGAGGAGGGATACTTGGGAGCCAACTTAGGATTTTCCTACCACATGGTTTGCACTTTTTTGTTTCTAAGAAATCTTTGCCTACCCCAGTGCTGCAAAAATTTTTCCAAATTCTTTTAATAGTTTTACTTTTTCCATTTTGATTTCTGACCCAGTGTGTGTGTGTGTGCATTTGTTTGAGATATAATTCACATATTACAAAATTCACCCTTAAAAGTGTATGATTCCAGCCCTAGCCCGTTGCATAGTGGTTAGAGCATTGGCCCACAGACTGAAAGGTCATGAGTTTGATTCCAGTCAAGGGCACATACCTTAGTTGCAGGCTCAATCCTCAGCCCCAGTCAGGGGGGGTGGGGTGTGCGGAAGGCAGCCAATCAATGTCTCTCTCTCACATCGATGTTTTTCTCTCTCTGTCTCTCCCACTCCCTTCTACTCTCTCTAAAATTCAATGGGAAATAATATCCTCTGGTGAGTCTTAACAAAAAACAAATAAAAAACTGTACAACTCCATAGTTTTTATACAGTACAAAGTGGTGCAACCACTGCCACTCTACAATTCTAGAACATTCTCATCAAACATGAAAGAAACCCTGAATCCATTAAGCAGTAACTCCCATTTTCACTTTTCCTATTTGGCAACCACTAATCTACTTTCTGTCTCTATGGATTTACTGATCCTGGACATTTTCTATCAAAGTAATCATACATTGTGTGCTCTTTTGTATCTGGCTTCTTCACTAATCATATTTACATTGTTCATCCATGTTGTCACATGTATCAGCACTCCATTTTTCTTTTTATGGCTGAATAATATCCCTTTGTATAGATATACCACATTTTATTTTTTTGTTCATCAGTTTATGGACACTGGGTTGTTATCACTTCTTGGCCATTATGAATAATGCTGCTATGAACATTTCCTTTTTATTTATTTTTAAAATTTAAATGGTATTTTTCAATTACAGTTTACATTCAGGATCATATTGTATTAGTTTCAGTTGTATTGCATAGTGGGTAGATAATCATATTTGACTAAGTATACCCCCGGATATTTCCAATACCCACCTGGCATCATACATACTTATTACATTATTATTGGCTATATTTCCTTTCTGTTTTATTTTATTTATTTTTAACTGAACTGTTTGAGATAAGTACTGACATCATGGCCCTTTATCCTTAAACTAGAGGCCCAATGCACGAAGATTCGTGCAAGAATGGGCCTTCCTTCCCCTGGCTGCTGGCACCGCCTTCGCTCTGGCCGGAGCCACCTTTCTGCCTTTGTTCCAGCCCGGAGCCACCTTTCCGCCTTCCCACACTGTCCAGAGGCCCAGAGCAGCTGGGGCGGTGCAGAATGCCTGCATCCCGCCCTGCCCCTGGCCACTCCGCACCTGCATATGCAAATTAACCCACCAGCTTTGTTGGGTTAATTTGCATACTCACTTCTGATTGGCTAGTGGGCAGCACAAAGGTATGGTCAATTTGCATCTTTCTCTTTTATTAGTGTAGATTCTTCAGTATGCCTTTCCCAAATACAAGGACATTCTTTTCCATAACCACAGTTCAGTTATCACATTTAGAAAATTTATTGTTGATATATTACTATCATCTAATATAAATCCATATTCAAATTTCACTGATTTAATTAGTGATTTTTAATATCTTAAACAATTACCAATTCTTTTTTTGAGTTGAAATTCACATAACATAAAATTAACCGTTTAAAGTTAATAATTCAATGGCATTCATAAAATGAAGTGGGAAGTGTTCCCTCCTGTTTTCTGGGAGAGATTATGTAAAATTGGCATTAATTTTCTTTAAATGTTTGGTAGAATTCTCTAGTGGAATCTTCTTGGCCAGGAGATTTCTTTCTCAGGAACCTTTTTAAACTATGAATTCAGTTTTTTAAGTGGTTTCAAGTAGTATTTGAGTTATCTACTTCATCTTGGTTGACTTTTGGTAGTTTTTGTTTTTTGAGGAATTGGTTCACTTCTTGTAAGTTGTCTAATTTACGAGTACAAAGTTGTATGTAGTATCCCCTTATTCTTCTTCTCATGGCTTCAGGACCTGAAGTGATATTCCATTTCATTCCTGTTTTCTCTCTTTTTATCTTGGTTAGCCTTAAAGGGCCTAGATGTTTATCTATCTTATTGATTTTTATGGCACAGATATGGTCTTTCTTGGATATGGATGTTCAGTGAGCACTTGAAAAAATGTTTATTCTGTTTTTGGGTGAAATGTTTTCTCTCTTTCTCTCTTATATACATACACAGGGGTTTATAGTTGTAGGTTTACAGTTCATATGGAAAAAATACAATAATTAATAAATAATAATACAAGAATAAACTCTGAGGTTTGTGTACACAGGTTGGCAAACTATAGCCCTCAAGGTGACAACCTGTTTTTGTGAATAAAGTTTTATTGGAACACAACCATATTGTGTATGTATTGTCTATTAGTGCTTTCATGCTATAGTGGCAGACTTGAGACAGACCATATGGTCTGCAAAACCTAAAATATTTACCAAATTGGTCCTTTACAGAAAGTTTGCTGCTCCCTACAAGTAGATAAGATGTGGGTAGGAAAGCATTGATAACTATTAAAAATGAAAATGAGGTTATTTTTTATAGTTGGAAGAGGAAGTCAGTGATCAAGGGTGGTTGGTTAAAGAGGAGGTTTGCCTTGAAAGAATGTAATAGGAGACCATTGTTAATAGGGAGGATGAGAAGGGCCTTTCCAGGATGGAACACTAGTTCATTAAGGCACAGATGTGGTTTGTCCTTAATGTTGCTTTTCTAATCTTTCCCTTTCTAGCCAAGAAAGATCAGGAAGGTGGAGAAGAAAAGAAATCTGTGCAAAAGAAAAAAGTAAAAGAGTTAAAGGTGTTGGATTCAAAAACGGCCCAGAATCTCTGTAAGTAACTCTATGATCTGAACTACCTGAAATGTGAAGGATTTCTTCTACGAGCTTAATTCTGGTGGATGTAAGGTCCCTTGATATGAAACTTCCATTTGTTGAGTTCCTGCTGTATGCCAGGCATTGCATAGTGAATTTTCAATCTTGTTTAATCCCTTCAATAGCTCTGCAAAATTGTTAATATATAGTTTTAGGGCAAGGAAATAGAAGCTAAGATTTTTAGGAATTTGCCTAGTCACGTGGCTAGGAAGATTTGAACCTTGGATTTTTTTTATTTCAAAGCCCTTACTGTTTCCACTGTATCCACAGACAATCTACCACAAATGTTCCAGGTACTGTGTACATTTCCTTCTTTCTTACTTTCTTTCTTTTTTTTTTTTTTTAAATATATTTTATTGATTTTTTACAGAGAGGAAGGGAGAGAGAGAGAGAGAGAGAGAAAGAGAGTCAGAAATATTGATGAGAGAGAAACATCGATCAGCCGCCTCCCGCACATCCCCCACCAGGGATGTGCCCACAACCCAAGTGTTGCGGCCCCTGACCGGAATCGAACCTGGGACCCCTGACCTGAATCGAACCTGGGACCCTTCAGTCCACAGGCCGACGCTCTATCCACTGAGCCAAACCGGTTTCAGCCTTTCTTACTTTCTTTTAAGTATTTCCTCTGAAATGCAGGTGTTGGCTTGACTTCAGTTAAATCTAAAATAACTTTGTGGTTTAGGATAAATAATGTAAATCCTGGACTTCTCAGAGTCAGATCAATAACTCCAAAGAGTTCTGTTCTGAATTTGCTCCTTACACCCGTAACTGTGATTGGCAGAATTTCAGGCCAGACTCCTCTGCAAAATTGATACAGGTAGTACTTATTTGATGATCAGAATATATGTTCATTTTTTTTTCAACTGTTGATCTCCCAAAGAACATAGATTTAAATATTTGCTCAACAAAAAGTCTGCCATGTTGCAGGATCTATTAGGCACATACGAGGTTCCGGAGATGAAAGGGTATATAGTCCGTAAAACCTACTTAAAATCATGCGATATAGCTATTGTCCCCATTTTTCCAAATGAAAAACTAAAGTTAAGCTATTGTGACTTGGCAGAGGTCACACAAATAATGAATACACATACCTGTAAGTGAAGTCAGTGATACAATGAGAGCAGTAAGCCTTTACATTATTCTTGGCTATATAATCTTACATCATTGTGAACAAATTGTACTAAATAGTCTGTGGGTAAGTCCTTTTATGGAGACTAAAGTAATGTGACATAATTCCTCCTCCCAAGGTTTATCTCTGGGAACAAAATATGAGTAATTGTTATTTTAGGAAATGATACAAGACGGTGGGGTAGTGTATTATTTCCAATTGAGTGACATCGATATGGAAAATAGAATTCAGGAAGAGGATTGAGATTAGAGTAGGATGGTCTAGGAGATGTAATTTAGTGATTCAAGAATTATTAAGTGTCTCTTATGTGCTGGGGATACAAAACTGAGTGAGACATAGTTCCTATTCATGAACCACACTTTGGGTGGAGATAGAAAAGTAAATAATGCTAATAGCACAGCGTGGTAAGTGCTGTGATGGAGGGGTACTAGGGTGCTTGTGAGAGCACTAGGAAAAGGGTCATCTAAATCTAGTGGGGGGAGTATGCTAGAGGTCATTCTAAAGGGTGTGCTGCTTAATCTGAGTTGAAAGAACTGTTACCAATGAAATAAGTGAGGATGAGGGCTGGCTTGTTCGGGCAGAGCAGTCAGTATGTATGAAGCAGAGGCATGAGATAACATTGTGCAACTGAGGAACTACAAAAAGAGTCTGGTAGGCTTAGCCCTGGCTGGTTGCTCAGTGGTTAGAGCATCAGCCCTCGCACCAAAGGGTCTCAGGTTTGATTCCTGGTCAAGGGCATGTACCTGGTTTCAGGTTGACCCCTGGCCTGATAGGGGCTCATGCCGGCAGCAACCAATTGATGTGTCTCTCTCACGTCAGTTTTCCTCTTTCTTTCTCCCCACCTCCCTCCCTCCTTCTCACTCTCCCTAAAAATCAGTGGAAAATATATCCTCCAGTGAGGACTAACGACAAAATTCTGGTAGGCTTAGGCTAAGAAGTATATATTTCATCCTGAAAGTTATGGAAGTTACTGAAGGGATTTTAATCAGGAAAGTGAGTGATACAACCCTATGTAATTTTTGGAAAGGCTACTCTGGCAGTGATTTTGAGGCTGCAGTGCTAGGGTAGGGGAAGTTTGTAACCAGAGAGGTGAGTTATTTTTTTGCTTTAAACTAAGAGGTGCCCGGCTGGTGTTGCTCAGTGGTTGAGCATGGACCCATGAACCAGGAGATCACCGTTCGATTCCTGCCTGGGCTGTAGGCTCAGTCCCCAGTAGGGGATACAGGAGGCAGCTGATCAAATGATTCTCTCATCATTGATGTTTCTGTCTCTCCCTCTCCCTTCCTCTCTCTGAAGTCAATTTTAAAAAATTCTATCTTATATAATAAAAGCCTAATATGCTAAGTGTCCAGTCGGCTGTTCAACCAATCAAAGCATAATATGCTAATGATATGCTAAGGCCACTCAACTGCTTGCTATGACGTGCACTGACACTAGAGGGCACACACTCCTCCCACATCCTGATCGTGCACTGGTGGGGTCCCTTGGCCTGGCCTGCGCCCTCTCACAATCCAGGACCCTTCAGAGGATGTCAGAGAGCCGGTTTCGGCCCGATCCTGCAGGCCAGGCCGAGGGACCCCACTGGTGTACGAATTCGTACTCTGGGCCTCTAGTAAATAAATAAATAAACTAGGTCAAAGGTGATCAGGGCCTGGAAGATAAGAAGATAGAATTAATGGAACTCAGTGATTGACTGAGGGGATAAAGGAGATGTTTTCTTAGATTTACATCACTCTACAGAGGATGGTATATACCAGTGGTTGGCAAACTCATTAGTCAACAGAGCCAAATGTCAACAATACAACGATTGAAATTTCTTTTGAGAGCCAAATTTTTTAAACTTAAACTATATAGGTAGGTACATTGTTATTAACTTAATTAGGGTACTCCTAAGGCTTAGGAAGAGCCACACTCAAGGGGCCAAAGAGCCGTATGTGCCTCTCAAGCCGCAGTTTGCTGACCACGGGTATATACCATTTACTGAAATGCAAAATCCTGCAGGAGTAGTTTTGTCTTGGGAGAAGTGGTAGGTGATAGGCATGATGAGAGGTGGCATGGTAGTGGGTAGAAATGATTAACTTAATTTTAGAATAAAATTTAAGGTGCCTGTGAGACGCCTCCAAAAAGATGGGTGTATTAGGAATTTGGGTATAGAAATCAGGAAGTTCTGACTGGAGATAGGAATTTAGGAGATAGAATGAGTTACAATTGAAACCATATGGTTTGAAGGCTATTAATATTTAAGGGGCACAGAGTAAGAACAATGGGCTAGGTACAGAAGGTCACCAGGGTGGAAAGCCTCAGATGCCTAGCCAAGGACAATTGTAGAGTGGGACCTGGCCCCCAGGGTGACCTTTCTTGTCCTAGCATATCACTGGTCATGTGGTTTGGACTCCCTGACCATAAAGATAACTTCTAGGCCTCAGTTGTATTTCAGCTCCAGGCCCAGAAAAGCAGCAAAACCAGACAAGGAACACCAAGGTTGACCTCAAGAGCAGCTACATTGAATAATGATCCCCTACCCGGCGATAACCAATCAATCAGTGGAGACTCTGACCCTGAAAGGACACACCTGGAAAGCTGCTGAATATTATATTGAGACCTTCCCCTGGGACTTCCCCTAAAATCTCCACCCTTAGAACCCTTAGGACAGAGGACCCAGGAAGCTCTCCCTCCTGGGAACACACCCATACCATCCTCTCCTTGTCTTCCTCCCTCTCCCCCCAGGCATGTCACCTTTACCTTTCTAAGCTTCAAGAGTCCTTCCTTTGCCTCTATAACTTGTTTCCTAAGCCCATTTCTTCTATGAATTACTTCTTCTACCTCTGTGATTTTATAAATGAATGTTATAGTTTGAAAAAAATATATTTAAGGGGCAAATAATAAAAGGTAGAAGCCTCAAAGAAAAATGGCTAGCAAGGAGCAGCAAGAAAAATTGTATGAAATAGTCCTGAGTGGGAGTAGTCCACGTGTCCGATGAAGTCAAGAGTCAAGTAAAATCAGGACTGGACAAGTATCTTTTGCATCTGGCATCTGGCCTTAGGAAAGTCAGTAGCCAAGGCAAGAATAATTTCAGTATAGAATAAGAGTTAAGATTAGAGGCTCTAGAATCCAAGTGTATTTAAATTCTGGCTCTAACCATTACTAGCACAGTGAGACTTTGGATGAGTAGCTTAACTTCTTGAAGTATTAGTTTCCTTTTTGGTCAAATGGGGCTAAGAATACAAACTTATATGGATATTAGGAATGGGGTTAAATGAGATCATGTATGTAGATTGTGTTTAAGGTACTGTTTCTCACATGGAGCAGACATTCAGTAAGTGATTGTCATCTTTTCATGGACTTTTTTAGAATGTTATAAAGTGAAGGAAAGAAAGAAGTTGATAATTAAGGATATTGGGTCAGGGAGGATTTTGATTTTGTTTGTTTTTTAAAGATAGGAGAAATGAGTATGTATGTAAGCTGAAGTAAAGATCCTTAGGATCTCCTGTTCTAGTGAAACATGCCAGAACGATGAGTACATGGGAGTAGTTGCTGATAAGCTTACAGAAGTGTTGGCACAGTTTTCTTCTAGATGATTCCAAGTCCTTACCCAAGCCTTGCCTTGTCTGCCTCCATCTGAGGGCCCCTAATGCTCAGTTTGCAAGTGGCATAAGAGAAAGCTGAGCAAGTAATCTCACCAGTGGCTTCAATTTTTCACTTAAGAGAAGCAAGGTCTTCTTACAACTAATGTGGAAGGGGTGGGACAGTTGGGAGGATGGGGACTTTTGGTGGAGCTGCAAAGACAGCCGGGAGAACATAGACTAGGAACACTAGAAGGATTACTAGGCAGTACTGTGGCTTCAGCTATCCTTGGCGCCATCACAAACTCCTAGATTCTGACCTGCAGTGTTTACTAGCATGCATGTTCATCAGCCCAGTATAAGAATAGAGAAATCAGATGGCAAAATTAACCAGGGACTGGAAGGAGAAGGAAACAAGTGGACAGACATAGGGGTATTAGAAATGAGAATAATAGTAGGGAGTGAAGTGGTAGACTATAAGTGGAATTGATACATTCTGAGAAAATGGAATGACCAGCCCTCTTCAGAGACAGAATGGGAGAGAGAGGGAGGGAAGGAGAAAGACAGAGGGGGGGAATCTTCCATTTAGAGATGAGTGAGCAAGAGAGCTAGAAGGATAGGAAGTGTTTGTTAGGAAATGGGATATGGCAGTTAAATTAAGAATCAGAACATTTCTAGGCAACGGTCGCTTTGAGGATGGAGTCATGAGAGAGTGGAACTAAAATAGAGTGGAACAAACGTCTTTGATGTATATAGAGAAGATCAAAGGCTTCCTGGGAGCAAAGGCATAGAGTCACAATGTTTGTAGAATGCAGTGCTTGGGACAATGTGGTTGGTATGTGACATCAGTGCAGGGATTAATGAGAGAAAGTTGGGAGGTGGGAACCTTACACACTGGATGGACTCAGGAACTTGGATTCTGACTATGTAAGCAGGGGAGCTGGTGGAGGTTTCTGATAGTGACTTCAAAAGATCACTCACTGGTAGGAAAATTGTCCAGCAAAGGCTTGTGGATGGGCTGGAAGGAGGAAGAGATGAGAACATGTCTTTGTACCTCATTTTCTGGCAGCTATCTTTCTGGGTTCCTTCCGCATGCCCTATCAAGAGATTAAGAATGTCATCCTGGAGGTGAATGAAGCTGTTCTGACTGAGTCTATGATCCAGGTAAGGAGCAAGGTGGTTGTTCTGGAGCTGGCTCTTTGCATCACTCTGCACTAGCCTCGTTTCCTCTCTGCTTAGAGCAGCGGTTCTCAACCTGTGGGTCGCAACCCCTTTGGGGGTCAAACAGCCCTTTCACAGGGGTCGCCTAAGACCATCAGAAAACACATATATAATTACATATTGTTTTTGTGATTAATCACTATGCTTTAATTATGTTCAATTTGTAACAATGAAATTGGGGGTCACCACAACATGAGGAACTGTATTAAAGGGTCGTGCATTAGGAAGGTTGAGAACCACTGGCTTAGAAGCTAAGGATCCTCCTCTGGCATTGTTGACTTAAAGAATGCTTTGCGTAAGTTTCCATCTCTGGTGGTCAGGTTGTTTCTGGTCTACTTTTCAGAAGTCCTGCCATCTCACTAGCTGCCTCCCCCGCACCCCACAGGCCCATGTTTCCTTCTTAGTGATCCTTGGACAGAGTGAGGGCCTGACAGGAGGCTCATGTTGTCATCTCATCTCCCTCACACTGAGACAGTCCCTTCTCCCTTTCAGAACCTTATTAAGCAGATGCCAGAGCCAGAGCAGTTGAAAATGCTTTCCGAACTGAAGGACGAATATGATGATCTGGCAGAGTCGGAGCAGTTTGGCGTGGTGGTGAGTGAGGCCTGTGGCGACAGGCTCTTCTTCTCTGACCCCCTTACTCCCTCCTCCTGAGAGCAGCTGGGGCACTTGCTCCTTGCCTCTTGTCTGTTTTGAATCTATCTTTCTCTCTCCTCCCTGCTCTGGAACTCTTATCCTCCCATAGGTGACTCAAGCCTGTAGTGTTTTCTTATTTTTCTGTCTTTGCTGGCTCTGACGGAGCTTCTGTCTTCCCCCCAGATGGGCACTGTGCCCCGCCTGCGTCCTCGCCTCAATGCCATCCTCTTCAAGCTATTGTTCAGTGAGCAAGTGGAGAACATCAAGCCAGAGATTGTTTCCGTGACTGCCGCATGCGAGGAGTTGCGGAAGAGTGAGAGCTTCTCTAACCTCCTGGAGATTACCCTGCTTGTCGGCAACTTTATGAATGCTGGTTCCAGGAATGCTGGGGCTTTCGGCTTCAACATCAGCTTCCTCTGTAAGGTGAGCCAGAGGGTTAGGCAGATGACAGAAGGGAAGGCTGCTAGCCTCTATGAGCCCAATGTGACAATTACTGTTGGCCTGAGGTGATCTCGGACTAACAATGTCATGACTAACGATTTCTTCTCTTTCCCAAGCTTCGAGACACCAAGTCCACAGATCAGAAGATGACATTGTTGCATTTCTTGGCTGAGTTATGTGAGAATGACTATCCTGATGTCCTCAAGTTTCCAGATGAGCTTGCCCACGTGGAGAAAGCCAGCCGAGGTGAGCAGGTTGCATGAAGCTAGAAGGCCCTTCCACGCCCCACAAATCTCTGCATGGGGAGGGAAATAAGAGTCTATATTTTAGATTATTTTCAGTGCAAGCTGTTTTAGGTGGGAATGAGAGAGTGTAAGCATGATGTGTAAGCCAAAGAGAGGAGTATCAGGCAGAAGAGATTGTCCTTGTGTACAGAAGTGGGAAGCACTCAGCCTTCCTAGGGAAACACCAACCACAACTGGAAGAAAGGCAGGTGTTTTTAGTCTAGAACAACGGTTATTCTCATTCAGAAAACAGACTGGATTAGATTAACAAAAACTAGGCCTCACCATCCTGAAATTATTTAAACAAAAAGCAGCATTCAGTAGAAGTGGGAACAGATTTCTCTTTTTGTATATGTCTCCTTCCTGCAAACCCTGTTCTCTAAAATACATGAAAGGAGGACTCCAGGGGATGTCAGATTTTTGTGAATCAAATGAAGCTTAGACTCAGTCATCAAGTAACTTATAGTTTCACTGGAAAGAAGTGAAGAACAACTAGACAGTACATAAGAGAACTAAAGTAATTAAATATCAGCTCTCTGTATGGACTGGAACTGTGCCCCGAAGGGCAGGAGCTCAAGGTCTTAAGACATGAGTTAGTAAGCTCTTCCTGTTTTTGTGTTTCCTTTAGTTTCTGCTGAAAACTTGCAAAAGAATCTAGATCAGATGAAGAAACAAATTTCTGATGTGGAACGTGATGTTCAAAATTTCCCAGCTGCCACAGATGAGAAAGACAAGTTTGTTGAAAAAATGACTATATCCTTTCTTGAAAGGAGGGAGTTGCCCCCTAGGAAGGAATAGAACTTGGGGGGAGAGGGGGAGCAACAGGCTAGATCTGATGATATACAATTTTTCCCTCTTAAAAACTTTATTTTCATTAAAAACATAGGTTTTGAAAGCATTCCATTGTTATGGCAGGGAGAGCAACCCATGCAGATAAGCTAAAAGCCTCCCTTGATCCCTTGCCCTCTGCCCATCTCCACCACACACACACACACACACAGGTGTTCCCTACCCACTCCCCAGAAGTATCCTACTGTCACTGGACTTCTTTTTGATTTGCACCTCATGAATTTATTTGATGCAAAAATTGCATTGTGTGCATTGTATTGATTTTTGCCCACAATCTGCCTTAGCCCTGTTTCCACAGCACTGTATGCAGAACAGCCTCTTTTTAACTGCTGTCTCCTATTCTATAGGTGGTTTAACATACCCCCTTTGTGGTTATATAGATTGCTTCTGGCTTTTGCCTCGAGATAAATAGTGCTGTATTGAACATCCTCGGGTATGCCAACGTGCATCTTTGAATCTTCCTCTGGGCAGAGAACTGGGTGCGCTTCTTGGCATTGGTCCTTGACTCCATGGCTGCACAGCTTTGTGAAGGATGCGCAGGAACAGTATAACAAGCTGCGGATGATGCATTCTAACATGGAGAGCCTCTATAAGGAGCTGGGCGACTACTTCCTCTTTGACCCCAAGAAGGTGTCTGTGGAAGAATTCTTCATGGATCTCCACAACTTTAAGAATATGTTTGTGGTGAGCAAGGAATGCCTGCTGACTGAATCTTGGGAACATTTTTCACTTTCACTGGGTTTTTGATGGTTGCTGGTGGGTGTGCGTGTGGGTAAGTGCGTGCATGCCTGTATGTTCATTTGTTTCCTCCACAGCAAGCCGTCAAAGAGAACCAGAAGCGACGGGAGACAGAGGAAAAGATGCGGCGAGCAAAACTAGCCAAGGAGAAGGCAGAGAAGGAGCGGCTGGAGAAGCAGCAGAAGAGAGAGCAACTCATAGACATGAATGCAGGTAAGAAGCGGAGGAGAAGGCCTGATGGGCTGAGACAGGAACATTTGGAAGGCGTCTCTGTCTAGAATCTGGAGGCCGGAGAGAACAGCTCATGTCTGAGCTCAGCTCCTGGCAAGTGATAGTTGGCAGCCTTCTCCCTCCAAGACCCTGATGCTGGACTTTCACCCCGACTCAGTGGCATGCACAGGCCAATTCTCCAGGCTCAGATCCTCTTTTCTCCTCTGCTGGTTCCTGCATTATGTCTCATCTCCCCAGTGATTTTAGGATTGCTGTAATTCTCTGCCTGTCCAAAGTGCCTCTGGCCTACTTTCATACCCTCTGCTAAGTCTTTTGTTCTTTTCCCCACAATGTTTTCCTGGCTCTGCTTCTGTCTTTTAATGGTGGCTTTCCCTCCCTTTCTGCCTATTTCACTAACTACTGTGTCCCAAGTACTTCAGCACAATCATATATACCTTTCAGATTATAAATGGATTGAACTTCTGGAAAGGGGGCAGGGGACCTGGCCACCCTCTTCTTTCTCCAACAGAATCTCTGTTTTACTACCAGAAGCGTGGCTTTGTTGAAACATATGGCCTCAATTACTGGCCCTCTGTTTCCTGTCTCCGCTTCTTTCCTGCTGCTGATTCCCTGCCCCCCTCTGGCTGCTCCAGCGGAAATTGTGCACAGCACTGAGCTGATGCCACCCTTCTTGAACCTGAGAGGCTGTGAGCCATCTGAGTGAAGGAGTTCCAGGGTTGCCGGGTTTGGCAAGAATGAGAGTGTTTGCTGAGCACAAAAGGCAGGGGCTGCTCTAATACCTCTTGCTCCAGGGGCTTTCTTTGGTATTTCCTGTTGTGGTAATATCAGGGACCTGAAGCAGCAGGAACATTTCATCTTTTCTTCATACTTTTCTGGGAAGCAATTCTCTGCTCTTATCCCAGTTGTGTGTAAGCCACAAACTATTCTAGAAATGCTATTTAAGCCCACAACAAATATTCACCTTCCCCCATTCTCCTCAGGCACCTAGGGTTTGTCCCCAGGTACTGTCTAGGACATAATAGGGAAATGTAGAGCTCAGCTGACGAGGTATGAGGGCTGTACCCAGTCATCAGGTTACACCCGACCTTGTCCAGGCCCTGGGATGCCCAGGGCAAGCAAATGAGGTTGGAATGTAGGTCAGCTGCATTGGTGATGTTCAGCCAGCAGGTGGCGCTTGGAGCAGTGAGCCTAGCCGTGTAGCTGGCAGCCTGGGGCTCCTTGGGATTTCACAGTTTCAGATTTCACCATCCTGAGCTGTTACCATGGAAACAGAGCCAGGCTGGAAAGAGGATTCTACATTAACTCTTTGTATTCCAGTCAGGATGTTTCTCTTAGATGCCTAGCTGGCTCTGGGTCTATGCAGCCACTGGGGGCAGTACTTCAGTGAAATGTACTCTTGATCAGTTCTCTCTCATCTTTTCTCCGCCCTGCTCTGAAACTGGAACCAGGTGCTGCATGAAAGGTTTATGTAAATTGGAGTGAAACACTTTGGAATAAAGAGAGAATTATATAGTTCCTTGCTAATTTCATAATCCCAGTCTCGGTCCGTATCCTGGTCTTGGAGTTGGGCAGTTCTGCAATTCCCTGTGCTTGTCCTGATTGGGATGGGAAGGGAAGAGTACTGCAGGAAAATATCCCAAGGTTTGCAGTGGTTAGTAGACAATGAAACCTTTTGTTTGAACCATTTCAGGCAGACACACGTAAGCATGGGCTGAGGCTTGAGGTTGAGCCCTCTGTCTGTGCTGAGCCCCCAGCCATTGTGGTCGAGGGGAAGCCAAGCAGACACCATGCATTTTGTGTGGGGCTCAGCACATGCGTGTTGCTTGGGCTAAAGAGATTACATCTCTATCTTTGTTCATAACAGAAGGTGATGAAACAGGTGTGATGGATAGTCTCCTGGAAGCCCTGCAGTCAGGTGCAGCATTCCGACGGAAGAGAGGACCCCGGCAGGGTAAGTAAGCAAATGGAGCCTTCCCCCTGGTGAAGGGGTGAGCCTCTCTACTCCTGGTTCTGCTTGTCCTGGGCTAAAGAGGGGTAAACACTCTCTGAGGGTTTAGAAACTTCCTCATGATAGTCCCTGCATCTGGAAGTGGATTGTGTAGTCCTCTTCCTCCCATGTTAGAAAGTACTGACTTGGAGAACTAGGGCTTGAGGTACTGACCGTGGATCACTTACATTTGATTATTCTTGCAATAATCAAATAAGGTGGGCGTTTGAGTGTATGAACAAAATTGATCCAAATACAAAACTATGTTAGATGTAGGAAACACAAAGAAAAAATAAGCGAGGAGTCCTTAACTCTCAACTTCACAAGCAGAAGAGATAGAGACTAATAAAAAGTATAAAATCCTATAGAGAAGGACATCGTTTTCCCCAGATATAAGGAGCATCTCAAGGGCAGGAGTATGCTGTGTCTGAGAACTACCTTCTCCTTGGGTGCAGTTGACCCCCATTGCACTTGCCCTTCCCCATTGACTCCCCTGCAATCTCTTCTCCCCACCTTTAGAAGATTTAAGTGGATTACGCTGAGCCAGAAGAATTCTAAGAAGAATTATGGGGGTAGGAGGACAAATGACCTAGGCATTTGTATGAGGAAGGATCAGCGGATAAGTTCCTTTGAAGGACGTATACAGTAGCCTGCAGACTAGTCCAAAAGATATAGCCAAGGCTACCCCTCATGTGGTATTGACCTGCACCATTGTGTCAGTGAAGTACCTTCAGGACTAGGAATGATGGCTTCTTTTCTAGTTGAAGGGTGGAAATTACAGAAAAGGTGCCATTAAGGATTTCTACTTCTAAGGGAGTTGGAGCTATGTTCTTATTCCTTGGCTGGTACATTTGTAGGCCTGTTTGATATGACCTTTACTTTAAGGTTATTGTAAAGAGGAGGAGATGTACAGTTTGCTTTGGCCAGTGCTTAGCTATTGACACAGTGGTATCTATAGGGTATATAGTACCTATCAGAGCCTGGAAAGGAACCTGAGGATCCAAGTCAGGGGTCCTCAAACTTTTTAAACAGGGGGCCAGTTCACTGTCCCTCAGACCGTTGGAGGGCCGAACTATAGTTAAAAAAAAAAAACAACTATGAACAAATTCCTATGCACACTGCACATATCTTATTTTGAAGTAAAAAAACAAAACGGGAACAAATACAATATTTGTATTTGCATGTGGGCCGCGGGCTGTAGTTTGAGGACCCCTGATCCAGGGTATAGAGAATGCTAACTCATATAAACTCAGAGTCCCGGCCCAAGTGTTGTGGGTCACTGTGAGTTTCAGCTGTAATGACTGACTGCCTGTTTCTGCCCACACTGGGACTATCCAGAGGGAAACTCTGTTCTGTGACGTAACAGGAGGATCTCTAGTTCTGACTCTTACCCATGTTCTGGCATCCTCTGGGTACAGGCTCTCTAGAGGGGAGGAGCGGGGCTAGGGTAGGACATAGATCTATAGATCAGTGTTTGGTAGAGAACGCAGCTGGTAGTATTGCTTTTGTGTTTAGTCTTTAGAGTTTCTGCGACATGGTTTCCCACCCACCATATAAGGTGATGTGGCCTTCCATTAAGCATTTCTAGCCAAACAAAAGCACATTGCATCTCACTGTTTTTCCTGTATCCTCTCAGCTAAGCACCAGCCTGTGTCAGACTTTTGGTGGGGAATTCCCTTTTAAGCCTCTTCCTGTGGAACTGCTAGAATCCCAGATGCTTCCTGTACACAGGCAGCCAGACAGCTTCCCTCTGCTGGGGAGGCCCACACGCCACTCTTCCCAAGTGGGAAAACCAGCACTCCCAGCCAGAGGAAGCAGGGGTTTTCAGCAGAGGATCTGAATTAGTCAAGGCACTGTTTCCCAGTGTAAGAAGGAATGGGAGGAGACTTACAATAGGAGATACTGATGCAAAATGCAGTTGAAAATAAGAACTACATACTTCTTAAATTGGCTCCATCTTACAGCCTTATCTTTCTGGGCTCTGGGTTCACTGAACACACCTGAACATCAGGGAGTATCTCTCAGGGTAGACATTTCTAGTTACTCTGGTAAGCTGTTTAGACCTGGGTGCATTCACATCATATAAAGTGATGTGGCCTTACATTAAATGTAAATAGACGGCTGGGCATCAAAATAGAGTGCAAAGAGCATAGGACAAGGATCAAAAGGCCCCAGGTCAAGTCTGATTACCTTAGACAAGTCTGGTTACCTTACACAAGTTTCTGGGACTCAGATTTTTCATGTATAAAATGGGAGTTGGACTGAAATGGCCTCTGGGGTCCTTTCCAGCTTTATTATCTTTTAATACAGTGACAATATGATTCTCAAACTATAAAGGTGGCTGTGGCTGTGGTTTCCCTGGTGGCTGCTGGACTGGTGCTTGGTGGTGTCTGACTGTTCCTCCTGGCCAATTGGAGCCAAAAAACAAGCACTATCAAGCAGATCTGCCTCACAGCCTCCTCAGTCGCAGGGAGGCAGCTGTCCCCATTCAAAGACACTAGCCTTCTCCCTAGAATTCAAAGGAATGTTACCAAAAAATATTTGGCCTCTGGAGACCTGAGGGAGTGACCAATATACAAAGACGCTTTGAGGAGTTGGAAGAGGAGAGTTACTATCAGGGCTGGCTCATTAAAAGTGACATGTAAACTGCTGGGCTCTGCAGGGTGTGGGAGAACAATGGTTTGAGTGTCAAGGGGAAGAATCCATGTGATTGTATTGCTGGTACTCTTTCAGGCTGATGATTGAGTCTGCTTGTGGTTTAATGACTCAACTTTATCTCCATGTCTGAATGGTAGCCTCTTTTACAGGCCATCTGCTCATGGGATAAAAGTCAAGGGAAGAAAGAAATTCATCTCCCTTTCCTTTCCTCTGCTACTTCCCTGCTTCCCTGAAGACTCCACCTACACTAATAGAACCTTAGAGTTGGGGAAGACGCTAAAGCCCTCTAGAGATTAGCACCTAACCTCTTCATAGGTAATAGAATTAAGACCCAGATAAGACCTTGCCCAGGTCTACAGAGGTGGCTAATGATAGAGCCAGAACTGTAGCCACTTTAGCGAAGCCAAGTCCAGGGCTACTTCCACTAAGCCTACAGGATCAGACAGCAGATGACAGCAACCCTTCTGTGTAGGCAGAAATATTCTTTCATACCTTCCAGCAAGGAGACCCCTGCACAGAGTGAAATTGCTTCAGGGAGTTTTCTGATGACCACCTGTCTGGAGAAGGTGAAGAGTATTCCTATACCTCTCCGATTCTCCCTCCACTTCGGTAAAATTAGGACAGGAATTATAATTAGGAGACTTGAGACAATAATGAGTTCTTTAGGATGGTAATGATCGCCCCATCTGTCCTAGTTTCCTCTTCCCTAAGGAAGCTTATTAACAAGAGCACTTCCTCTTTAGTAGTAGTTCCTAGCCTGTGTTTTATAAATGTCTTTCCAAACCATTAACCTTCTGATTCATCTATACTAGTGTTATATGGCTGATTTTGCTGGTGTTTTTATCCTAGCCCACCCCTGACTTCTGGGAATCTGGCCTCAGCTTTGACTGATGTCTCAAGATTGTTCCCTTTTCCCCATACTCTGTGGGACTGTTCTCTTATGACTTAATAATCCTCCCTGATCCCATGAGTTAAAATGCTCATCTGCTTCTGCGGCTACTTTTCAGTAGTCTCAACACAAGCGCCCGAGTTAGGGAAGGACAGGGGAGAGGTCAATTCTTCTGGGTTATAAAAGCTATTCAGCTTGACTGTGACCCTGAAGACACAGTGGAAGCCAGGATTCCTCGATTCTCTTCCCCGTTCCTGTAAGAGCTCTCATTTCTTTTTTCCCTTTTTTAAAATATGTTTTCATTAATTTCAGAGAGAGAGAGAGAGAGAGAGAGAAGAGAGAAACATCGAGAGAGAGAGAGAAAAGAATCATACATCGGCTGCCAGAATCCTGTACACCCCCTACTGGGACTGAGCCCACAACCTGTGCATGTGCCCTGACGGGGAATCAAACCGTGACCTCCTGGTTCATGGGTCCATGCTCAACCACTGAGTCATACCAGCTGGGCAAGAGCTCTCATGTCTTCTGCTAACCTTAGGCCACATGTGTCCATCCCTAGAGTACCTCTGCTCTAGGCTTAAAAGGGAAGTTTTGGTCTTCTCCCCTACCATCCATGCCTAATTTTTATGAAATCAGTAACCAGAAACTTTTTTACTCTAGAAAAATTTGGAAACACTGCTTGATTTTAGTATCTTCTGAGTTTAGAGGAAGAAATCAAAGAGAGAAGAGGCTTAAGACATATGCCACTTGAACTCCAACATCGACACACACACATACACACACACACACACACACACACACACACACACACGCGCGCGCGCGCGCGCGCACATGCAGATTTTCTTAACTGCTGGAGAGTAAATTCAGAGGAGCAGTAAGGTGATATTACTGCTTTTCCAGACACGAGAAGTAGGGACGAGAGAAGCGAGTATTTCAGAGAAGAGTGGAAATTAAGTGGATCTGAGGAAGAATTTGCTAGAGAGACAGAAGGAAGACAGGAGAAGCATATACATAGAGACCATGCTAGTCACACTCCAGTACACGTCTTTCCCTCCCTTGTCAGCCACTGAGGCAGTGTTTTATGTTCATAGTCCAAGGAGTGGTTCGTGTGAAAGCCCCAGAGTCTAGGTCACACACCTTCCACCTGTAACCAGATGGGCTTCGTGCCTGCATGGGCCTTCACTCTTCTTTCTCCTCTTGATAGACAACCCCTTGTGCCCCTGGGAGGAGGAGGAGGAGGAAGAGACCTATAAATTGGTAACTGTGGGCATGCTGTGTGCTCCCTGCTGACCTGTAGGTAGCCTTTGCCGTGTGAACACAGTGGCACTGGGTCACATTTCTGCAGAGAAGCTAACAACCCTGGTGATGACATGGGCCCTCTCACCCTGTTTGGCTTCTGCGTTCCCTAAAGCTTCTTGCTGGTCTAAAAGAGGCAAAACTGTCTGGGTGCTTTGTTCACTGTTCCTCTGGACCCCTCCCTCAGGCGGGACACAGCTGCCTGCGTTGAGGAATGCAGCTCGGGATGAAGTCTGCATTTAGGAGAGCCAGGCTTCATCTGTCCTTCCCCCTTAAAATGCAGGCACTGTTTTCTCCACTCAGCTTTCCCATGACCCAGCAAGCTCTTCCTTTTTTTTAAATTGAGATATAAACCACATGCCTAAAATACACCCTTTTAAAGTATACAATTCAGTGTTTTCCAGTATGTTCCCAAGGTTGTGCAACCATCTCCACTATCTAATTCCAAAACATTTTCATCACCCCAAAAGGAAACTCCATACCCAAGAGCAGTGACTCCTTCTCCCCACCCCCAGCCCTCCATGAATTTGCCCATTTCAGACATTTTGTAGAAAGGGAATGACAGCGTCCTTGCTTCTGTCACCCCAGGCAGGCGGCTCTTTGTGTACGTGTGGTGTCCACGCTGCTCCCGGGGCCTGGGAAGAGCCAGACAGCAGAGATGGGAGTGGCACCCAGGAACTGCCTCTTGTTGGGGGCACTGGGGCCGTAAATCTGGATTCCATTAATGAATATGAGAGTCTGGGGACGGCTGCCAACACTTTCTGATTAGAACAGAAACGTACGGATTGATTGGTTCTTCTCTTCCTGTTTAGGATGACACTGGAGCTTCACAATGCCTTAGCCTGTGGGGCCGAGATTTCTTTGTAGGGACCCCTCCTGGCCATCCTTGCCCCTAGCTCTGCCTTCCCCGACTTACCTTTCCTTACCTCATTACCCACCCCGACACACACACACACCATGCAGGGCCCTTGGCATTCATATCACAGCTGCTACCCTTGAGGTGGGAGAGAGCGAGGGTGGGGCCTGTGGGGAGAGGGAGTGCTGGGGGACACGTGGGGAGTGTGACATGCATGTGATGTCAGCCCGTGGCTGCTGCTCCTCTTTGCAGGAGTCCCCCTGGCCGCCTGGTGAAGGCCCCCCTCTGCTTGGGACAGCCCTCCCAGGGCTGACTCAAAGTGGTTTGGGCCTAGGAACTTCCTGGGAACTGCCAACAAAACAAGAATAATACTGTTCACTAAGCTTGAGGCTATTTCATTCCAACAACATTACGATGAGAAAATCGATTTTGAGTACTTATCTCTCTAAGATAAACAGCTAACGCTTGAACCCTGTTCGGTCTGTCTGGCTGTATTCAAACCTTTGTACTATTTTCACAAAGGAAAGCAAGAGCACAGCCTGCTCCCCTGCCTGTACCACACTCTCCTATATTCTCTGCACCCCGCCCAAGGGTATATTCCTCACTTCTTAGACCTCTGTCCCTCCTTCAAAATAAGGGCCTCTGTGAACCGGACAGGGCAGCCACGTTTGCATGGCGCCTGGCTAAATGTCTACCCCAGAGTTCAGAGGGGCCTTCTGTGTACGCTCTCTCATGTCTTCTCTTGCAGCCAACAGGAAAGCCGGGTGTGCAGTCACATCTCTGCTGGCCTCGGAGCTGACCAAGGACGATGCCATGACTGCTGTTGCTGCCAAGGTGCCCAAGATCAGTGATGGGGTCCCCACAATCCTTGAGGAAACCAAGGAGTTGGTTGGCCGTGCAAGCTAATCTGGGTCCTGTGGCCGAAGCTCCTCAGTGGAGCCCCAGTCTGTCCTGCCTGCAGCCTGTGCCTAAAGGGTCATGGAGATCTCCCTGTGGGTGGCCGTTCCCATCACCCCGACCCTGTCTTTCTCTCTGGCCTGCTGCTCTCTGTCTGTCACACAGCTTCAGCTGCCTGGGGCCAGCAGGAGAGGGCGGTAGGGGGAGGCCTGAGCCCAACCCAGCCAGCGCTGGCTGTTGCATTACCAAAGCAGGCTCTGTGTTCGCTGCCTTAACCCCAAGTGTCTCCTCTCTGTTACTCTGAGGCCTCTCTCAGACAGAGTCCCACCTGCTTTCTCAGCCCCTGGCTTTCCAGTGGGCTTCCCATAGGTCAATCTTGCTGGGTTTGTGCTTTTCTTTTGTGGTTTCTCTGGCCCTGAGAACAGCATGGGGCTTGTGAACCTTTGGGCTATATCCCACCTTTCATTGTGGTTCCCTCTGCTCTGCTCTTTCTTCTCCTGGCTGTTATTTATTACTAGTGGTATGGCATTGGGAGCTACTTCTAAGGAAGTGGTGAGAAATCCCACTCTTAAGCCACCTTCCTGAGAAAGGCCTCCCAAAACAAAAAAGGACCTGGACCACCTTTATGTGTTCCACTGGGGCTTAGGCCAGAGCCTGTGCGCAGGCCAGGCATAGAGACATTGTGGGACCTGCCCCAGCCTGCTGCCATGCTTTGTGCCCTTGCCTCTCTGGACCCTCTACACCACCCCCAGGCTCCTGAGCCATGGTCCCCCCTGCCCTCCCCAGAGCTTTGGTGCATCTCATCTGGAGTATTGTGACCATCCCAACACCTCATGCTCTGTCTCCAAGGAAATGGGAGGTGGAGCCTCCTGGCTGAGAAATTGTTTTGCAAATGGATCTATTTTTGTATGAGATTTTTTTTTTTTAAAGAAAAATAACTCTTCCTTCCCCCTTTCTCCATAATGTAAGAGGCTTTGATGGCAGGTTCCAGAGTCCTTGGGATTACTCCCCACAGGCCTCAACCGGGCCCCTGGACCTCCACCTCAGCTCTCAAGCTCTGGGCCCTTGATGCCAGTGCGAATTCTCTCTCCCAGCACCCGGTTCTGGTGGAGGAGGAAGCTCTTCTCTGAGCTGAGCCAGGTCTAAGAGTAGTGGGAGCTCTGAGACCAGAGTTTTTATAAATTTAATATATTTATCAAGCCAAATGTGCAGATGCTAACTGGACACTCTGGGGAAGTGGGCACAGGAGTGCCCCCACACTTTGTACTCCTGCTCCCTTCTGAACAGTGGGCAGGCCAAACTGTTCAGTGGCCCCAGCCACCGGAAGCTCAGACGGGCTCAAGGTGACACTTGTGCCACCCTGTGCTCCTTTCATCGTCCCACCTGGGTAGGGAGAGAATAGCACTGTTAGGCTTGGCCCAGATACGGTTGTTAGTGCAGGGGGGCAGGGGGAGACTAGGGACTTGCACTGAGGCCTGGAGGCCAGGAGGAAGGCTCTGGTTGCTAGAGCCTGTGTGAAGGGCCAACAGCAGTTCTTTGGAGCTATTCCCGGAAAGATTGGTACGAGGGCCTGCCGCTCCCTAGGTCTCCTTCCTCTCCCTGCTGACATCTGGGGCTTTGACCCTTTCTTTTTTAATCTACTTTTGCTAAGATGCATTTAATAAAAAATAAATATTTAAAAAAGAGACAAAATGCAGACCTATTTCCCTTGCCTCTCGGGCTTCTGGGATGTCATCACCTCCAGTTTGTTGGGTTTGTTTCCAACTGTTAATAAAGCATTGAAACAGTACTGCGTACAGCCTCCTGTGTGAATTTCTGAGCTGGTTCTTTTCACTCTCATCCAGGCTCCTCCGTCTTGTCCTGCATCAAATCCCTGGTTGACCTGACACATCATTGTAAAAAAGTTCAAGGTGTCCATCATGTGCTAGAAACTGGTTGAGGCCTAGAGAAGATTAATACATGGTGGCTTCTGCCCCACCATTTGCGCTCCATAAAGGCCCCAGTTCAAGACCCCCACTTCCTAATTGCTGCCTTTGGCTTGGAACCTGTTTTTAAATTCAGTTCTAGCTCCCCACCTCTCCATGCCCCCAGATGTCAGTTTCCTGGTAGTACCTGTGCCTCTTGCTGAGGGAAACATCTGGCTCCCATTCTTCCATCTCCCCTCCCCCCTTTGTTGGCCACAGACCACATTCCAGACTAGAGGGGCATACACTGGGGTGGAAACCTGAGCCTGTCTAGCAGAGGTCAGAAGCCAGAGGTCATGCTCCAGATGACATGCTGCTCAGAGTCATACTTGTTCGAGCACATTGAGACCTGCACAAAGAAACCTTACAATCTATGAGCAGGCCCAGAATAGGGCGGGAGGGGCCTGGAGAAGACCACAAACCCATTTGGGCAGGCTCTGGAACTGGAAATAAAGGCCTTTTAAATAGCTCTGGAGCCTGGGCAGCTGCCTCCCCAGTAGTTCCGGGGATGTGGGGGTGGGCTGCCTGCTTCCTCTCCTCCCCCAGAGGCCAGGCGTTTCTGACTCAGAGCTATATAGGCACACATACCAATTAGGGGACCAACCACAGCTGCTCACGCTCTGCTCTGAGAGTCGGCTGGGCTGCTGTGCCTAGAATAGAACCCAGGCGCCCGGCTGCCCGCCTTCTGCAGCCTGGCTTCCAGAAACGAAATCCCGCTTCCATCTCAGCAACCGCGCACACCACCCTCCCTCCCACGCAGGAAAGTCGCCCCAAGTTGCTTAGTTGGAAGGCTTGGTTTCCATGACAACAGACTTGAGCTGGCAGAACGCACGACCCGGCTCTGAGAGGCTCGGTGCAGAGGAAGCCCAGAGACAGCCTCGTCCCTCCCGGTGGTTGGAAATACCCTCGCTGACCCTCTTGATAACAGTGGGTCTGCCTTTATGTCCTTCCGCCCCTCCCGGTCTTCCCTCCCTCTCCCTCTTGCGGCTGCTCGGGCTGCAGCAACCTCGGAGTCCCACTGTGCTTCCAGGAGGCAGGCGGAAGAGGCGGGGAGATGGGCGAGCCGACTAGTGAATGGAAAAGCGTGAGAGAGGGAGGAAGGAGGGAGGGTGATCTGGGATGGGCTATCTCCTTGCCCTTTCAGCCTAGACCACCCTCACCCATCCCCAGGCAAGAAAGCGATGCGCTCTTCAATGTCCTTGGCTTTGTTGAGGAGAGACGAGCGGGAAGGTGAATTCCAAGTGGGGAAACTGAGGCCCAGGACATAGATTCGGCCTTCAGAGAATCGCCTCCGGCATTCCCTCCCACCCCCGCGGTGTTCCCAAACACCCAGGCAGCAGGGGAGGAGGGGAGCAGGCAGAGAGTCCCCGCCTCCTCCCGCGAAGCCCGCTAGGGCGCTGGGGCTGGTGATTTCAGCGGAGAAGGGGGGGCACTAAGGAGACGTTCCCCGCCCCCTCTTCTGCGCAGTTTGCCAGGCGCCAACCCGCTTCCGCCCCCGCGCGCGGGTCTCCTCTTCTGCCTGGAGACTGGAGCTTAGACCCGTAACGGAGACAACGGCACGCTCAACTGCACACTGACACGCCACGCTCAAATACCCCCTCCCCCACCATGGACCCGCAAGCCGATTGCACACACGGTGTACAGATCCACCCGCAGAGTTAGTCAATCGCACACTATTACATATGCACACCGGTGTTGGAAGCACCAACAGTCACACAGACTCATGGCAATGACACAAAGCCAAGATGCAAACGCCATAATCGCCTCCCGATCCCAGGCTTCCAGCGTGCACTCCTCAGCTCATCCCGTCATCCAAACTTGTCAGGAGCCTCCATCGCTTACACAGAAACGTTCAACCTTTCAGAAGAAACCTTTTTATTTTTTTTTTCAAAGAAAAAAAGCCATATAAATATTAGAGTATAAAACTTGCGTGAGACACAGGAAAGGGATGGGGAGCTACGTGACTATGCAAAGAGAAGCGCTTATAGGAGTCAGTACCAGGGAGGGGGTCGCCGCAGTGCGTGGACACAGCACAAAACACAGCACCGGCCACCGCAGGCAGATTCAAGGACAGACGGCTGCGCGGAGCCCGCCGCCCGCTGCCCACTCGCCATCACGGAAAAGCACACCGCACTACACTATTGGCTATTCTACACCAGCCAAAGAGGGGGGCAGGGAGTCTCTACACTACAGTAAGGACGAGGGTGGGGTTCTAGCACAGCCCGCTGGATGAACGGGACTGGGGAGAGGGAGGCAGAAGTGGGGTGCCGGAGGAAGGTTTATGCACAAGGAGGCACTGGGGACTTGAACCAGGCTCTGGCCACTAGGGGGTGGACTGAGGGCCTGGGCAGTGGCCTTCACAGAGAAGAGATGGCACCTGGCAAGGTGAAGGACCAAGGCTTGGGGAATGCAGGGGCCCCGTGGAGAAGCCTGATCCTGGGCTGAGAATTTCTGTCCACTTGGTCCCTACTCTAATCCCTTGCCTCCTCAACCTAGGGACCAAGAATGGCCTAGCTGGCCCTCCCTTCCTGCTGGGGTAGGAGGGAGGGGACACACTGATCGTTCCACTAGGGGGCACCTCTGGAGTACCCAGCACCCACAGAGCCCCTCTGACCTCTCCAGGGAACCCGGTCCCAAACCTGCTCAGAACTTCCTTGGACTGCAATGCCAGTTTAAATCCATTGGTGCTGGTAGCTCAGCCCAAAGCTGGCTGCTTGGGTGGAGCCCTGTGTGTATGTGGGAGATGAGGGCTCAGCCTGGTGCCTGGTTTATGGCTGGAATTTGGGGATCTGGTCAGTACCCTGGGAACATACTGAGCCTCCTGCAAGACCCTGTTAACTAATGGGTCAAGATTTATCCACCCTCCCTCCCCCCATCCACATACACACCCTTCCCTCTTTACCTTACCACCATATACGGTCTTGGAACATGCAATGGAGTCTCTTGTTTGGGGAGGGGGCAGTCACAGCATGCAGTGGAAACATCAAACAATGAAAAACAAAACAAAACAAAACAAAAAAACTGGTCCCTAGAGCATTGGGAAGAGGCATGGTAGCAAAATGCCCTCCCTAAATCCAGCCAGCATCACTACCATGGAATGGCGACCATGTCTCCCAAAACTTGAGCTTGGACTCGGGCTCTGGAAGGAGGCGAAGGGACTGGCACCAAACCATGCTTTGGGGGAGTTTCAGAATTGAAGGAGAGGCCAAGAGGTCATGATGCCCTTTCAACTCTTCAGAATTATGAGCCTTTTTAGGTCACCAGGTACCTCAACACCCCAACCACCTTACTCAAAAAAGAGGAGCTGTGAAAAGAGTGGGCTGGGGTGGCATAGGTAGGAGGGAGGCAGGGGACGTTTGGGCCTGATTGAATTTGGAAGATGGAGGAGTTCAGCTCTAACTAAAGCGGGTGTGATAAATGATGTCTACACTAACCCCCCTACCCCCATGGGCACAGCAATTGATTGGATGGGGGTTCCCAGCAGAACTCCCTTTGCATATTCAATCCCCTGGGGACAGAAAGGGTGGTGTTGACTGGGCACTTGTTTCTGTTTCCCAAGGGGAGCATGGCCTGGGCCCCACCAGGATCCTGGGGGTGAGCCCTGAAAATCCCAGTCCTGGATCCAGGTAGGGAGAGGCTGGGCTGGTTGGGGGGAGGCGGCCCAGTGGCTCCAGGCTTGGCCTCCACATTACTTCTTCTCCTTCTTGCCAGACTTCTTCTTGTTGCCATTGCCACCTGCCGGGGCCTTGCCATCCCGTTTTCCCGCTGCGTTGGTCAGTGTGGCGTTGCTGCCAGGGATGTAGACATTCTGGCGGTAGTCGGGCACGTGCTGCAGGGTGAACTGGGGCCCGTAGCGGGCGCTCAAGCCCATGGTGCCAGCGCCTGCTCCCAGGGTGGAGCTCCCATCAGCGGCTTCTGCAGAGACAGGAAAGTTAGGGGCTAAACCGTGGGTCCCAACTGCCACTCTTTTTGTAAAGAATATATTTTTATTGATTTTTTTTAAAACATATTTTATTGATTTTTTACAGAGAGGAAGGGAGAGGGATAGAGAGTTAGAAACATCGGTGAGAGAAAAGCATTGATCAGCTGCCTCCTGCACACCCCCTACTGGGGATGTGCCTGCAACCAAGGTACATGTCCCTGACTGGAATTGAACCCGGGACTCTTCAGTCACCAGGCTGACGCTCTATCCAGTGAGCCAAACTTTATTGATTTTTTTTTTTACAGAGAGGAAGGGAGAGGGAAATAGACAGTTAGAAACATCATGAGAGTCAGCTGCCTCCTGCACACCTCCCACTGGGGATGTGCCTGCAACCAAGGTACATGCCCTTGACCGGAATCGAACCTGGGACCTTTCAGTCCGCAGGCTGATGCTCTATCCACTGAGCCAAACCAGTTAGGGCCCAATTGCCACTCTTAACAGTATAAGCAGTTAATGAATGCCTGCAAGGCACCCAGCCCTGACCGCTGGGAAGCCCACCTCTACCACATGGGGTCGAGGTAAGGGGCTCTGGACTAACAGGCTAACTTTGATTCCGAGCTCTTTGAACCTAGTCCCTTAAGGTAAGGGTTAAAGTATGCTCGCTGTTCCTTCTCTCAGCGCCGAGGTGGCTCTCAAATCCTGTCCTGGCCCTTCTCTAGGGAGCCTCTCCATTTCCACACTGGACTCTGGGCTCCTAGGGACCTTCAACTATGGCTTGTGCATCCTTTCCTCCTCCAGCCAGGGCCTGGCACAGAGTAGGCAGTTCGTGGTTCTGTTATCAGTCAGGAGGGGGTGCTCTTCCAGGCATTCATTTCAGAATGGCGACTGCCGCCTGCTCTGTGCCAAGCACTTTGCTAGATGGTGCACGTGCATGATGGCTCCTGACCTCAGCGCAGCAAGCCAGTGAGGTGTGTGGTGTTATCCCTACTTCGCAGATCAGGAAAGCAAGGCTCAGAAGGGAAAAGACTAGGCCCCAGCCACCCCAGCCAGCACAGGTGAGAGCAGGGCTGAGGCCTAAGTGTATGTAAGCGTATGTAGAGTATCACCAGCAGCAGCAGCATGGCCCTCCACAATCCCCGCAGGGTAAAGGAGGGACAGAAGATAGGCATGAGCCGTCTTCTATGAGGCTGAGTAGATGATCCCGGGACCAGACAGGCTCATGGTATCAGAGGCAGTGCCCTGCCCAAATCCCCGCTGCACAGGAGACACAGGCTTCCAGGGAAGTACAAATGCTGGCCCTGGCTCATCATCACCTGGGAGCTTGTTAGAAATGCAGACTCTCATGCCCAGCCAGCATGGCTCAGTGGTTGAGCACCGACCTATGAACCAGGAAGTCATGGTTTGATTGCCGGTTAGGGCACATGCCCAGGTTGTGGGCTCTATCCCCAGCGTAGAGTGTGCAGGAAGTAGCCAATCAATGATTCTCTCTCATCATTGATGTTTCTATTTCTCTAACCCTCTCCCTTCCTCTCTAACCTTCCTCTCTGAAATCAATAAAAACACAAAAAGAAAAAGAAATGCAGACTCTCTGAATCTGCATTTTAACAAGGTGATTTGTTTTCACGCTGAAGGTGGGGCACCTGGTAAATGTGCACTGTTAGCTGCTGTTGCCATCACAGTGTGTCACTGCTGAGTGTGTGTGTGTGTGTGTGTGTGTGTGTGTGTGTGTAAGGGGGAAGGAGCCAGGCGTTCTGATGGCTGAGTCCACAGGGTATTGGAGTCCCCTGGCAGTGGGCAGGTTAAAGCCCCTGGAATGCCCGGCCCAGCCCCAGCCACGCTGACGAGAGCTTTCCTCTCAGCCTCCTTCGGCCCCCACCCCGGGGACCCAGGGAGTGGGTAGAGTGGGTGACTAAAGCCGGAGAGGCTGAGTAATCCTGGGATACCAACCAGGGATTGAGAAATAGAGAGAGAAATATTTCAAAGAACGGCACAAGAGGGGGGAGGGGTATAAGAGAAGGAAAGGAGGGATGAGCCTGGGTCTTTCCGCCTCCTCACTCCAGCGCTCAGGTTTCTACAGCCTCCAATTCAAGTCCCCAATCCCCCCATCAGAGGCCTTCAGGGGGCGGGGAGGACGGGCTGGGAGGGAGGGAGCAGCTGCCACTTCCCTTTTCCTCCCCCAGCCCTTTCATCGCGCTAACATTTCTCTGTTTTCCCTAATTCACTCCAGGAGGGTACCTTGACTGCCCGCCCCCTCCCCTCCCATGTGCCCTCTTCCAGCCTGGGAACAGGGGACAGGGGAGGGGGCCGGATCCGGCTTTAAGAGCCAGGATTCAAGAGTGATTTAGGGCCAGAGGGGAGACTTCAGAACTCAGAAGAGCGAGAGAGAGTGAGAGCGGTAGGGAGAGCGATATTGAGGCAGGACTTCGGAGAAACAGGGGGAAGAGAAAGAGAAACAGAAATAAAGGAAAGCTTGACGGGGTAACTGGGAGCCAGGCCCACCCACACCTACAGGCACCCAAGATCTCTGAGGAGCACCCTGTGGGTGCAAATGACTAAGCCAGCCCCTGCCACCTCCTTCCCAGAGGCACAGGCCTGATGCTGGCCCAGGCCCTGTGGGGCGCAGTGGAGGTGAGCTGGACCCGAAGGGAGAAGAATGTTCCTAGAAAGAGGCTGCCACTGCACTTCTGTCTGGTCAGCTCTGCCACTAAGGAGCTGTGTGACCGTGACCAGGCCCTGCTTGAGTCAGGCCCCAAGTTTCCCTGTCTGTAAATCTGTGGGGAAGAAGTTGGGGGGCAGGCTCTGACCTGTAGAATGAATTCTCCAGTGGCCCCTCTCTCTACCCCTGCAAGAACCACACTGGGCAGGGACCAGCATCTTCCCTCGTCCAAGAGAAACAGACGTTGAAGAGCAGCCAGAAGAACCTGGACATCCTCTGGTTGGGAGGAGGTGGAAGTGGTACTGGCCTCCTCTCTAGCCCAGCCTTGCCTGGGGAAACAGCTCCAGGCACCATAACCCCCCCTTGCCTCCTGCCCTCCACCCAGGGCTGGGGCAGCAACTCTAGGGCAGTCCAGGAGGCCTGGTCAAGCGAGACCTCAGCCAGTTGAACTGCAGACCGCAGGCTCCTTGAGAGCACACCTCCTCCCTGAAATGTTTATTTAAGAAGCCTCCCAAGTGTACTTACTCTCCCCCTCTGGCTCCCCCTAAGCAGCCCCACAGGCCTGGCTGGGCTGGGCTCCAGGAACCTCTCTGGCTCTGGGGCAGGGAAGCGGGTGTGAAAGTGAGAGTAGGGCCTGACCCTGCCACCTCCACCCGCAGGGTCTGTTCCCCAGAGCCCAGGCTTACACTCAGGTCAGGCCCTGTGTGGGCCAGAGGCGGGGAGCCCTGAGCGGGAGGGCGGCCTGCAATGACCCAGGGGACCTTCTGAGAGGGTTTGGGGCCATAAATACTCCATTTCTGTTTTTAAAATGTGGATTTAGGCTAAAAAGCCTGCTTCCTGGCCTTAGGGCTCAAGGCCACAAGAGCTAAATATACCTGACTGCCTGTTTACTTCCCTCAAGAACCCGACTTGGCCTCTCCCCAGACCCAGCTGCCTCCCTCTTTCAAACTCAGCATCTGGCCTCTCTGGGCTGCGCTCCGCTCCATCCGGAATGCTGGTCGCCTTTGCCACTTTCCCCTTCCTAACCGCAGTCCTGGCCCCACTCGGCCGCACAGACATCTGGAGGAAGCTTGCCAGACTTAGCAAGTAAAATCACAGGGTACCCAGTTCATATGAAAATCAGGTCAACAACAAGCAATTTTTTAGTGCTGTATGTCCCAATACTAATGTTTGGGACCTACTTATGCTAAAATATTATTTGTTGTTTACCTGAAGTCAAAATTTAACTGATTGATCATCTTGTATTCTACCTGGCAACCCTCATCTTGGAGAATAATACAGGGCAGTGAGAATTCAGCCTCCATTTACTCAGCTAAAAGGGAAACGGAGGCTGGATCTCAAGGCAGACAGGGTCACTGTAGCAGAGAGAACATCAACTTGGGAGTCGGGCCAGGTTAGTGGACAAGTGACTTCTTAGTCTCTTGTCTGTCAGGTGGAAGTACTCAGACCTGCCTCGCAGAGCTGCTGAGAGGGTTCACGGACATGAGGCCCATAGAGCTTGTCTGGCATGTGCCTGGCACAGGGGCGTGGTTATGGCGATTATTGTTCTGATTTGACCTGCTTCTCTACCCACCAGCCCTCCAGTGACTATGTAAGGCCAGTGCCTTAATCCCCCACCATCCTCCATAGAAGCCCAGATGTGCTGCTCCAGAAGCTAGGCCTTATTAATGGGCACTGTTCTAATTCGGCCTTCTACCCACTCCTATGGATCAATAAAGATAATAGTTAACCAGTCTTAGCCACTATATGTTGTGTCCTTACTCTCTGTTAATTCTGTGCTGAGGTCTTATATTAGGTCCTCTATCACGCCACAATGAGAGCTGTTATTACTGTGCCCCTTTAGAGTCAGTGAAACTGAGGCCCAGAGGGGGTTAGTAACTTGCCCGAGGACTCACAGTGCACAGGGGTGCCAGAATTTGGATCCATGTTGACCTGCCTCCAAAGCCTGTGCTCTTCAATAGTGATGATATCATTCTACTTCCCCTGTTCAGGACCCTTGTGACTTTTCGGGACAATAACCATCAACAGAATCTCTATTGCATGTGAAGTTCTTTGCTAGCCTTAGCCTCGTGGGAAAACCAAACTCCCGCTCTGAGGGTGGGTAAGCGAAAAAAGAGAAGGGGTCTCACTTATCCGGAGTCTGTTCTCTCTGCTGGGAACACCCCTCCCCCACATCCATGGACTGAGGGCCTATTGCCAGACCTAGTACTTCGTGCTTTGTGGTATCATCTCCTTTAGTCCTCAGGACAGCCCTCTGAGGTCGCTGCCCCATTTTCTTGGCTGAGGAAACTGGGGTGTAGAGAGATTAAGTAAATCGGTCAAAGTCACAAAGATGGTAAGTGGCAGAGCTGGGATCAGACTGATGCTCTTCCCTTCAGACTCTCAAGCACCATTCCCCACATGTCCTCGATGGACCTTTCCTTGTTCACTCCCCTCTGGCATCCCAGGGCCCAATCCCTCAGCTGTTCCTCAACCTGGCTTCATGTTTTGGGGTGATGAATCCCTTAGAACCGGCAGAAAGACCCAGAGAAATCCTGCAGGGTGATAGCCAGTGTCAAGGCATGTGGCTGTGGGATACCCAGAGCCCCAGGTCTCCCATCACATCTTCACACACACACACACACACACACACACACACACAACTCACCGCTGGCAGAGGCCAAGATCATGGCTTGCAGCATCTCTGTGTCAAACTGGTTGTTGGGCCAGGTGCCGGTTTCATCGCCATTTTGGGAGCTGGAGAGAGAGTGGGATGGTGAGCAAGTGTCCCAGGCCAGCCTAGCTCATACCCTTCCTGCCCTCTTCCAGGGCTCCCAGACCCAGTCCCCTATCCCCCCATCCCCAGGACTCCCGCCCTTTCAGCAAGATAGTGGGTAATTTCTATAATCCTTCAGAAGCCAGACCCCCCATCCCATTTGTCAGTCCTCCAAACAGCTCTCCACTGTCTCAGGCATGTCTCAGACACTGGGGCCCTTAGACAGGATAAACTGTGACTTGCTCCCCGCCCCCCATGAGAGAGCAGTGCTTACTGTCACCATGAGGGAGATAGGCCGCTCCCCAGGGCAGTGAAGGTAAGATATGAGACCCTAGGGAGAAGGGGGTGGGGAGGGAGAACTCCCTGGAGCAGGGAGGCTTGCTAAGCCCTCAGGATAAAATCCAGGGCACAGAAGGACACGCCCCTCCTATTTTATAAGAACGCCCCCAGCCTCTCCCAGATATTCTGCTATCACTTTTTCCAAGGAGGCACTTCCCTAGTTCCTCAAGTTCTCTCACAGCGAAGCCTGGGAAGACACAGTTCTCTGGAATGCCCGTTCCCAGCCTCTGCCTTGGTAAAATAAACATTGTCAGGGGGATCCCTAAGCCCACCAGCTCCAGCTCTGAATGCAAGGCTGTCTCCTGCTTCCTACTGCAGCACCTACTTAAGACCTTTAGATGCTCCCAGTGTTGAGAAAAGCAAGGAGTGACTCACAATTGTTTAAAATGCCAACCCATAAAAGAGCCCTAAGGAATTCCCCCAACTTGGGTGTTTCCCATAAGTGACTATTTCCAGCTTTTTTTGAATTTTCAAGGATTAAATCATTTCCATTTTTGAGGAAAGGGGGGAAGCACCCTGACACACACACAGTCTATTAGGGGACCCTTGGCACCCGTCGGGCACTCCAAGTTCTCAGTAAATATTTGTTGCCTGAATGGATGGGAAAAGGTCATGGAGAGTGTTAGGTCACTGTGAGGATTTGGCAACAGGAGAGGGGAGACCTGAAGGCATGAGTGTGCGTGTGTGTGTGTGTGTGTGTGTGTGTGTGAGTGAGAGTGGGTGCGCGCAAAATATTAACAAAGGCAGTAGAGCAAGGAAGCAAGCAAGGAAATTTACAAGAATTTCCAAAGAGCATTTTGGAAGCATTATATTCATTTGAACAATTGCAAAAAAACATTTTTACTGAGTTAAGCAGTTTAGCCTTTACTCGGAAATTTTAATTGGATATGTTTGCATTAAAAAATAATAATAATAACCTTAAAATAGTAACAATGCATCTAGGTAAAAAGAGTATTCAGGTGTTCATCATACTATTCTTTCAACTTTTCAATAGGTTTGAAACATTTCAAAGTAAAAAATTGAGGGGTCAAATGAAGTCATCTAGGAAAAGGTGTGGTGTTGTGGAGAGAGCTTTCCAGGCGGAGGAAGTGACATCCCTGAGGCGGGAGAAGCGTGGCCGTGGCCGTGAGTTTAAAGGACTAAAGGAAAGCCAGTGTGGTCCCGCCAGGGGAGGTGTATCAGGGGCTGGGCCTGCGGATGCTAAAGATTTTAGTCCCATCCTAAGAGCTCTGGGAAGCCACTGAGAGGTTTAAAAGGGGGCTGACATGATTGGCTTTAAGTATTTAAAGAGCACTCTTGCTCCTGTGAGAGGACTGAGGGTTGGGTTACCTCTGGGAGGACAAGAGCCCAGTGATAGGGCCTCAGCCACCTCTGTCTCCAGGCGTCCTGACTCAAGCCTGACAGAGCTGTTGGGGGCCTGCCTGAGGGCGCAGGACTGAGGCTGTCGGGCACAGGCCTAGGTGAGGGGCCTAATGGGGACAGAGTGGGGACAGCGGATGGTGGGGACAGCCAGGAGAAGAGCTTTGGGGCTGTGAGGTACACAATAGGGTCAGATTCCAGGTTCGGAGGATGCCCTGCGGAGGTGGGTAGTGGTGTTGAGGGAATAAAGGTGAGTGGAAGGAGGGTGGGCTGGAAGATTCTAGGGAAACCGTTGAAGGTTGGAGGCCAAGCACCTGGGCAGACTGCCAGCTCTTTAAAGGAGATGAATGAAGTTGGGGAGAGACTGCTTTCTGAACCATTTGCTGAGAGCTTCCTATTTCTGGACATTGGGCTGACTGGGATATATATACATATATCATCTATTTCAGCCTCAGAACCACGTGCATTAAGTGTTGTGATTATCCCTCTTCCCTCTTTCCCAGCAGATGAAATCAGGGCTCTGAGAAGTTGAGAAACTTTCCCAAAGTCACACAGCTGGTAACTGTCAGAGCTGCAACTGAAATAGTGCTCAGGTGACTCCAACAACACACTGGGCTTCAGCAGGGAGGCCTGGATCCCCGGCAGTAGGTAGAGGGGACTCTTCCAGAATTTGGAAAACAATGAGAAATAAAAGTGGAGGAGAGAGACTACATCTAATTGATCATTTTCCAAGCTCCCACTATGTGTCAGTGCCTGTGACAGGCCCTGGGACTTAAGAGATGATAGATACAGTGCTCGCCCTAAGGAGCCTGTATCCGGGTGTGCGGGGTGTGTGTGGGGAGCAGCCCAGAGGCTGGGCTTTGAGAAAATGTTTCCTGAATTAGGCTCTAAAAAAGAAGAAACCTGGGGAAGTCACTCCTGACAACTGCCTGGATTTAAATGATAAAATATAAATGCATATATATTTTTTCAGTGCAGTAAAAACCTACCAGCATTTAAAAATATACATATACAGGGTTGGGGGAAAGTAGGTTTACAGTTGTTCATATGGAAAAAATACAATAACTAATAAATAATAATACAAGAGTAAACTCTTGTGTTTCACATACTCACAACTATAAACCTATTTCCCCCCACCCTATATCTGGGGCTATTATGCAACAATTAAATGACTTTTCAAGAATTTTTTTATAGACTTTGGGGAATTTTTTGTGCTATATTGCAAAGACCACCCCCCCCCCTCAAATAAATGAACGGTATGATTTTAATTACTATAAAGAAAAAAAATGGTGAGAAATATACCAGGTACTGGGAATGAAAGTTCTCAGTATTCTGTGAGCAAATTCATTTTATTATTCTCTCTACTTTTGTATAGATTTAAAATTTTTCATGTTAAAAAAAATGTTAGTGGTGTTTTCCCTGGGTTGTGAAATTATGAGTACTTTTTCTTTAAAATTTTGTTCTCTATTTTTCATGTTTCCATAATGAACATGAATTATTTTAAAAACAATTGCTAATTTGTTGAATGGGAGCAGGGATGGTGTCTTTCAGAGGAGGGTGGGTAGGAGGGAAGGGTAGTGGGAAACCATTAAAGAGAACAGAGTGGGGACAGGGGAAGCTGAGGGGGGCGGTCTCCTCTGTGCAGAGGCTGGGAACAGCTGCAAGGCGGGGCGTGGTTACAGCCTGAGGAGGGGACACTGGCTTGCAGGATTCAGACCTCCAGACAACAGCTGTTGGGGTCAGAAGCCAAAAGGTGGAGAGGAGGAGCGCCTGGCAAGCAAGAACTGCAGAACTTGGGTCTTTCCCCCCTTTGTCTAGGCAATGAGACCCAGTGCTGGCTTGAACTTGAACCAGGTTTACTGAGGAACTCAACATGAGCCCTATTTTCAACCTGGTGGCCAGTAGCCAGGTGGTGCGGAAGGAAATGGGGCAGAAAGGCAGTGGAGGGCTGGAACCAGGGTTGGATTGAATAAGCAATCTCCCTTCCTCATGCCTGCACTCCAATTTACTCATCAGGATGGCTGCACAGAAAACACCCCCTGTCAAGCTGTTGATCACCACAGGGCCTTTGCATATGCTCTTCCCATTACCTGGAATGCTCTTAACTCTTTCCTGCAGCTGGTTAATTCATATTCATCCTTCAGATCCCACACAGCCTCCTTTCCTCCTGGACATCCTCCTGCTCCCCATAACCAGGTCAGATCCCTATGTTATGCTCTCACTATGAAGCACTGCTCTTCATAGCACTTATGAGAACTGCAATCATATATATATATATATATATATGCGTGCGTGTGATTATTTGGTTAGTATTTGTCTCCCTCAATACTGTAAACTCCTGAGAACAGGGAGTATGTCTTTTTATACCTAGGACACTATCTGGCCTACAGTCATTCTTACTATTTATTGAATGAAGAAGGGAAGTTGCAGTTGCTGGACTGGGCCCCTAACGCTTATTTCATCTGGCCATTTGGAGCTGCATCAGAACTGTTTGTCCCATCCCCATCTGGCTCACGTTAAGGCTGGGAGAGCTCCTGAGCCTTCTCCATCTCCCCAAGAGCTCCCGCATGTATGTCAGGCCACCCAGTCTCTCATTTGATGAAAAGGGACTTGAGGCAGGGGTAAGGTGCGCAACCCAGAGCAATTGGTGGGACCTCCAGGTTCAGCAATGACTTCTGCCCCGGCTAGTGTATGCCCTGAGGTGCAGTTGGGAGGGGGGTGAGGGAAGGGGACACAAATTGCTCTGTACTTCTTTCTCATCACCTCAGCTCAAATGTCACTTCCTCCTGGAGGCCTTCTCTGCGCCCTCCACCACTACACTCACCTCACCCTCTTCTTTTCAGAACTTGCTATGATTTGAAACTAGACATTTTTGCGTGTGATTTGCTGTTCATTTTCTGTCTTCTCTGCTGGCATGAAAGCCTATGAGTTCAAGAATCATGTCTGCTTGTTCACTATTATAGGCCATGAGCACAGGGACTAGCTCATGGTAGATGCTCAATAAATATTTTTTGAATGAATACATGAATGACCTAATGGATGAGAAGGCTGGCAAGGCCAGTGGGGAGGAAGGGGACAGTTGGGTTCAGGACAGGGCATGCGCAGTCCAAAGGATCTGGTTTGTTGCCTTCTAGGGGCCTTCTAGGAAGTGCCTGGAGATCCTAATACCAGTGGCAGGACTGCACTGGCCCAGGAGCTGGAGTCTCCATCCTATACCAAGGTCTCCTGGGTTCCTGTGGCAGTGAGGGCTCAGTATCTGTAGCATCTGGGGAACTGTGGGCAGCAAGAGTCTGACCAGCGAGGAGGCAGGAAGGCAGACTAAGCTCTGCCCCCTCTCTCTCCAGGGATCCTTGGACTCCTCCAGGCTCCTGACTTCCAATAGGGAGGCCTGGCCCAGAGCCCACTCACTCCCCTCAGACCAACTGAAGGTCTTTCTGCTGAAATTC